GGGTTGCGCGCCCGCAGACAGGGTCGCGATAGCGCCAAAATCGAGGGGTTTGCGCTGAAAATGGCAGGGAGAGAAGGCGCATCTCCAAGCGGCAAGCGCACCTCGGGAACAGAAGTGCCAGCTATTGTTGGTTTAACTAATTGCTGAATAATTGGGAAATCGTGCAAAAACCAGCAGCAGTCCCGCTGGTGAAGGCTGATGAAAGGTGTGCGGGGCGTTCTCGCGAGCAACACTGGAGCTTTAAAACACAGATAAAATATGCATCTTGCCCGTTCAAAACCGCCTCCTTCTCGGAGGGATTAGATTCTAACTGTCCTTCCGCTGCCTCCCTGTGCAGGGCAGATGTTCGGATTCAAAGGACCTGTAAACCGAACCAGCGGCATCTGTCCTGGGTGGGAGTACAGCCTGAGACAGTCTCACTGCTCCCTGACTTCCGAAACAAACCGTCTTTAACTCTATTTTTAAAAATTCGTTTTAAAGATAATTGCCCTCCGATATTTTTTTTGTCTTTTAATTTTTTGTTTAAAGCCTGCAAAGGAAGCTTAAGAGATCTTCCGTGAGGAACCTTTGGCTCCTTTGCTTAAACTGTTTATGTGCTTGTCTACTTACTAAACCAATAATCGATCAATTTAGACGCTAAGTGCCATTGATCCTGGAAATCAGACCAGGTTGCCCGTTGATGTAAAATTTCACAAAGTAGCAAATTATTGCACAGCCTGCTACTTAGAGCCTTGCAAAGGGAAACTGTAAAAGTGTCATAGTTTCTCTTTTTATTTTTAGTGGAACTTCTCGTTTCCTTGTCAGAAACGCGCAATGCTCTCCTCTGAGGGGATCTGTGGCTGGCACTCTGTGTGGAACACTTTGTGTAACCAAATCTACACCCAGAGGTGGTGGGGAAAGGGGGACCCCTAAACTTAGGCAGAGACTGGAATTACTTCGTAAATTGCAGCAAATATTCGTGTGCAACAAGAATTGGGCTGACTTTTTTTTTTTATTCTACTTAAACGAGACTCCGTTTGCACGGGGATGATGGGTTTTAGATGTGGATAGAGCCTGACAAGTGGAAAATAGCTTAGAAGGATGCTGAAACTTCAAAAAGATTTCTTTTTCTTTCTTTCTTCTTTTCTTTTTTTTTAAAGTGTGTTCCTGTGATCATAATTTCTTCTTTCACTTGTTGGAATGGAGTTTGATGGGTTTTTTTAGGTCAGTAAATCAATGGCTGAAAGCTTGCTGAACACAGAAGCACCTGTAAAGAATCCTGAATACTCCCTTTGTGAATTAGACGCCGAACCTCCCACAGCCTGCTGCATTTTGTTCGTTTGTACCCGGTCCGGCTGTAACACGGGGACGCTAAAGCCCCTCGGAAAGGACAGATGTGTCGCACGGACGTGGGGCGCGGCGGGGTGAGAAAATAC